TGCAGAAGACCCAGCTCATGACAGCTATCGCCGCCGCCAAGGACTCTCAATCCATGGCGGAGAAAATGGCGGCGTTCCTTCCCCCCCTTTTTAAAAATTAGATGGGTAGTACACCACTAATTGTTAAATCTTTGCAGATCGCCTTCTGGAATACCAATTCACTTCGGAGCGGGCGTTTTGAACTCGAAAAGTTCATGGAAGACCACCAGCTCGATGCCATCCTCGTCAACGAGACGAACCTCCTGTGGAATTCCCGAGATCCCCAGATGCCGGGTTACACCTTGCACCGAACGGAACGCCGCGCCGGGACGGAAACGGGAGAGGAACGGCCATCTACGTAAGGAAAGCGATTAAACTTCTTCTTACGTCCCCGATCTCCGACAACTGGAAGCGACGGCGGTAACCGTTGTGACTGCGAGAGAGCCTCTGCGCCTAATTGCTTGTTACAACAACTCCAACACGCTCCAGGTTGAAGACATCGCTGACTTCGTCGCAGGCGACGGGGCCACCATCGCAGCTGGCGACTTCAACGCCAAGCACTCCGACTGACAGCCGCCAGAACAACGCGAACAGAAGGCGACTCCTAACCTTCCTCCAAAACACCGCGGAAGTAGACGTCATCTCCACCGAGGAACCGACGTTCTACCACCGAGCCCGACCAGATGCACCAGGTGATGTCCTGGACGTTGCTCTCGTCAAGAATCTCCGACGCGAAGTGGACGTCACCATCGTCGACGAGCTCCACTCCGACCACCTCCCGGTGATTATGCGCATCGGGGACGAACCCAACGATCCCGCGGCCAACATAATCACGACGATAGACTGGACGAAATTCACCGAACATATCAAGGGCAACTTTGGTGAATTCGTAACGAATTTCCAAGACAGCGAGCAAGTCGAAAGAGCAACCCTGGACTACGAGAATCGTACCCGGGCCTCCATCGACGCGACCTCAGTTCGACACCCTGTGCGGGCATTCAAGCGGCCCGCGATACCACAGCGTATCGCGAACCTCATCAGGGAAAAGAACAGAGCCAGACGAACTGCATGACGAACCGGAGAACAAGCCGACCGGACTGCAGCGAACCACCTCCAATGGGAAGTCCGGCAAGCACTGGTCAATATTAGGAACGAGCAGTGGGAACAGAGACTCGAGTCCCTTAACACCGTGGATGGATCGATCTGGAAAATGGTCAAAGCACTGAGAAGCGACAAGAGACCACTTCCACCGATCTACAGCGCGAACAACGGCATCGTCTTCACAGATGAGGACAAAGCCGCCGCCTTCGCTCACAGTCTGGAGAACCAATGCCAGACGAACATCGACCCTGATGCAGACGACGAGCATCTGGACCTCGTCAAAGAAACCGTCGAAGAAATTCGATGGACAGAACCCGACGAAGACGAGCTGATCCGTGAAACCCATCCCGAAGAAATCCGAGAAATCATCCGACTCCTCAAGCCTAGGAAAGCCCCAGGCCCAGATGGCATCCCGAACAAAGCGTTGAAGAACCTCTCCGACGAAGCCATCGTCGCACTAGCAGGTATCATTAATGCAATGTTCAAATTCCGATTCTTTTCAGCTAGGTGGAAAGAAGCCCACGTCATCTTCATCCCGAAACCCGGTAAAAATCACATTTTTCCGGAAAACCACCGCCCCATCAGCCTCCTCTCATCCGTGGGGAAAATCGCTGAGCGAGTGATTCGGAAACGACTAGCTGACATCGTCAACGATATAGGCGTCATCCCGATGAACAGTTCGGCTTTCGCCCACAACACTCCACCTCCGATCAACTCCTCCGAGTAGTAGAATTCGCCGCAATATCAAATGAATGGAGACAATTGACTGGCGCGGTCTTTCTCGACGTTGCCAAAGCCTTCGATACCGTCTGGCATGATGGACTTGTTTACAAGCTTCATCTGGCAGGCAGGCGTGCCGCTGGTGATGGTGCAGCTCATTCAATCCTTTTTGGATGACCGCACGTTTAAAGCACGCATTGGTAGCACTTTATCTGCGGAACATCCAATTAGCGTCGGAGTCCTCCAGGGCTCGGCGCTCTCCCCGCTCCTGTACGCGGTTTTTACCGCAGACATACCCAAACCCCTCGAACTAGCCTCGCCATCTACGCAGACGACACGGCTATCCTTGCACGCTCCAAATCGGCGCATCTCGTAACCTTCTACTTACAGGGGGCCGTCGAAGCGCTGGAGGAGTGGTGCAAACGTTGGCTCATTACAGTCAATCCAGAAAAGAGCACGGCGCTTCTTATCTCGAAAAGACGTATTGGGCCAGCAGGAAATGTCACGATGTTCAACCGGGTCATTCCTTGGCGGAGCCAAGCAAAATACCTAGGTGTCATCATTGACAAAAGCCTGACTTTTATCCCGCACATTGACTACGTCGTAGCCAAAACGAACGGGATAAAGGGTTCGTTGTCTGCGTTAATCGCGAGATATGCGGAGCCAGTGTCGTGTGTCCCGCGGTGGATGGAGTAAAGTTACGGGATAATACTTGAAGCAGCTGCCTAAGGCGCCTGCGAACACAGCATGGAGATAGCGTGGCGTTTGTGGGGGCATCGCGGCTTGGTTGTACGTAGCTGTGGTAGTGCAAAGAAACAGTTCGATGACAGTTAAATCGTTTAAAAATCAAAATCTGCCAACATAATAATTTGGGCATGAATTTGCAAACTAGAACATCGTGTACATTTAAGAACAAGCTGTGTTTATGTGACCGAAATTTGTAATTTTTACACTTGAAGGAACGAGATATTTGTAACGGAAATATTGACAAAAAAAAAACAACAAAAGGAAAAGAACTTAATAAAATTATTACCGCCATATTTGTGTTATTAATTTCAAGGTCACTCTTCCACCTTTGCGGTTCACCACTTGCATCCAAACGCATTCTGCCATTCAAAACACAACGTAGGGTCCCCATTTTGTTGACGGTCGCAGTTCATGGCCACTTTTCGAATTTTTCGCGGGTTTTCAAATTTTGTGCGCATGTCTCAATTTTGGCGGAATGTTTGGGTTATTACAACCGGGACACTACACCATCGTTATTCCCATGTGTATTTTAACTGTGATCGTCAACAAAATGGAACGTTAGATTGTGTTTTGAAATGAAGGGATGCGTTCTAATACAAGTGGTGAATCGCAAAGGTGGAAAAGTGATTCTGAATTAACGACACCAACTTATGGCGGGAATAATTTTTATTTCAAAAGTTGTATTTTCTCATCTCTAAAAATGTCCTCGTTCTTTTCAAATGCAAGGTTACAAATTTCGATTACGTAAACATAGTTTCTTAACTAAAGTGAATGGATGGCAATGCCTACATTATGGTAGCGGGTTGAACGAGTAGCATTCACGGTTCTAGGCCCTGCTATTGATTGTCTCTTCACATTAACATCGCTACGTACAACCATGCCACGGTGCCCCCACAAGCATCCGCTGGCGCCTGCGTCAAGTTTCATTCTGCAACTCCATCCCCCGCGTGACAAATGACACTGGCTGTCCCTAACAGAGTTTCCTCTCTCAGCAGGACACCCTTCAAATATCTCATGTTGGTAGATCCGGTATTGCGAATAAACAGTCATACGAATGAAAGGAAAATTGTCACTCTGGATTTGGGCCGTGCTCCGCTTTCGTCAACCGATTCAGTGACGAAAAATTAATCCCATACATAAAAAAACACATGTTAAATACCGTCGAAATCACAAGAATGTCGTTCGGTACACACTTTGGTGTGAGAGGAGTGTCCGAGAATAAACGTTCCAAAATTCAAGTCATAGAAAACATAAATGTTATCGATCAGCATAAAATCCCCCTTCGCTCTTCGAATTCACGATGACATTTACTTCACTGACAATTTTCAAAGCAATTCAGTGTTTAAAATCAAATTGTAAATACTGTAAATTACTATTTCAGAATTTCCAAATCCGAATCTATTAAAGTTAAATAATAGGAGTATTTAAATTAGGAAAAACTATCCACCCCCTTAGACAATTCATAATTTAAAATATTACATATCTTGCTTGTATACAGTTGCTTATTTCTTCGCTGTCATACAAGAAAAGTAAAATGTATAATTTCGAGAGTTTGCATGAAATAATGTTAAGAACTATTAGTAATCTCGAGTATGAAATTAAAAAGTGTCTTACAACGTAACACTTAAGTGACTTTCCTAGAACGTGGTTTATCTGAATAATTGCATGACTGTTAAACTGTGTTAGAGCTAGGAAGAGTGAAAACTCTTAACATGAACACTGAATTTACAATCAACAAATTTACACCACGTGTTAACAACATGGGTCAAAAATTCACACATTTCCGAATATATTAATAACACATGGGAACAAAAAAATCAAATTTTATGCGGCACTAGCTTTGATTGTACTTTTAGTTTTCCTATTATTGTAGTAAATTGTTGTGTACTCAGAACATTTGATGTATCTATAGTTCGGAAGATATGGCTCTTCATCGAAAGTCGTCCAAAAATGTTTTTTTCAAACATTGAGGAATCACGAAACAAGAGGTTACCGCCATTTAGTTGCTAGTATCCTAGTCAAACATTTGAAAAATTTGAATGTCTACTGGAGAAGCGATTTATCGGCTACAGAAACAATGTAAAGTATTGTAATACAAAACAAGGCGCATTCGTAAACCACAAGTATAGGAGTAAGTATATGACATTTTTATAACCATTAGAAAAGTTTGACTACTCAAAATGATGAAGGAATGTCATCAAATTGTTGGCAAGGATAATTAATCATACCGTTTTTTCGTACTCTCGGAGTCGCAAGGACGTTGAAACAACATGAACGTAGTCAATCGCCCGATGGATCCTATTACAATACTTCCTGCACTTACTGTCCAGGTTTTATTTGACAATTGCCGCGCATCGTTTGGTAACTCGTCATGGTGTTCTCCAATTATCTTACGCTTAGTTACAAATTTATGCTGGAGGATTTCTATCCTAACACTGATCATCACATTTGAGTAATTACAACGCAGAAACTTGTATTTTTTTTTTTTTGGCATTTTAAAGTACAAAGTTATAAAATACATTTTCAAAAAACCTTAACTTTTACTACCCCTTCTCGCAGAGTGCGTCCGTTTCTTGGTTTTTGAGGATGTACCTTCATCAGAATCATTATCTTCACTATCACTTATTTGCTTTTTTGCATTTTTCTTTCTATGTCTGCCTTTGGCTTTTCCCTCATCTGAATCTTCATCTTCACTATCAGTTACCTGTTTTTTTCCACCTCTTTTTCTGCCTCTGCCTTTGGCTTTACCTTCGTCGGAATCTTCGTCGCTATCGCTTTCTTGCTTCTTTGCACTTTTCTTTTTTGGTCTACCTTTCCCTTTCTTCGCAGACTTTAAAACTGGTGGAGGTCTACTTGGTTGTCCATCTTCGTTTACTTCAAAAACTGATGCTATACAAGTTTCGATTTCAGCAACAATAGGCTAGAATGTAAAAACAATTTCTGTTACTTCACATTAATCCTGATCTGTTCGCAATCATGCTGTTAATTAGTTTGCCACCGAGTTATGAAGATTTTAGGCGTACTATCAAGTCTCGAGATGATTCCTCTGGGCCGGAATACTAAAGATCAAGATAATGGAAGAAAACGACGCCAGGAAGTACAGTACACGAGATATCTCGGTAAACACAATGTTGGCATTGAAGAATCACTGACGGACGCAAGCTCGAAGTACAGAGAAAACGTTTAACTACGAAAGAAACGGCAAGGACCACCCTTCCACAAAAAGTAGACATGTAGATAGGATAATATGAGAATAATAATTTCTTTGACGTACCCTTGGTACCAATGTCGAAACAGTAAAAAAAAAATTGTAGCCTGAAAACAAGTACCTATACAGGACCGCCATAATGGCAACAAAAAATGTTTGATAGACATTATTTCTTTTGTCGTCCATCTCACTACCGCCAATAAAATTTTGTAAGGTATATTTTTATTTCCAAAGCTATATGTGTATGCGGTTTTATCAAAATTAATCAACTCTTACCTTCAAATCGGTTTTGCCGACTTTTGTTTTGCTGCATTCTGTCAGAATCTGCTTAAAAGTAGAATATATTTCAGCATCGTGTAAATGGTGTTGGTACATCGGAAATTTTTCGCGTAATTTTCTCAAAGCTTTATCGTTGTAATTTATCAATGACAAGCTGTAAGTGATATTTCTGTTAAGCCGCATATTTTCGTCTGGGGTGTATTTACAACAAAATCTATCCACTAAATTTTCCAATCTTTTGGAGGTATCAACCAGATCAAACAAAAACCTACAAGAGTAAATTTATGCCAAGAAACCTTCCAATGAATATTGTTGGTAGCCTTACTTCAAAATGTATCTGAGTTCTTCTTCCGTTACTTCGTCTACTCGAACCAAGTGAGTAAAAATATCCGGGATGACGTTCACAAGATTATTTTCTTTCTGTGCCATTCGCTCAAAAAAGTTCTTCGCCATTTCGCTCACCTCTTGGTTCTGATCTATTAAGCAAGCTGCCATTTCAGAGATATGGCTATGCGCCCGGATCATAGACCTTAAAATCAAATTCGCCAAAGAGAAGAACGCCGTTTTGCGGACTTCGACCAGCGCATCCTTCAGCATCTTGTAAATGTGGTCACTCCAGGGTTCCACAATATTTGGAAACCTCGTCAACAAATCGGAACAATGGACCAAAATTGTGCACTTAATTTCAGGATAGGCGGTTTTTTCCAGTATCGTGAACAACAGTCTGATGTTTTCACGAGAGAACTTGCTTGACACTAACATGTACCTACAATATTACAGTGATAATATGAACATTGTATTGAATTATAAGAATAACCTCATCATAGCTGTCACTGCAGCCTGTTGCACCAGCAAGTCGGTGAAAATATTTGGTTTTTGACATATCTCTAAAATAAGTGGGCTGTATTGTCCCAGAACACCTTTTGTCGAAACGACATCGTTTTCTAAAACGGTTAAAATGAATTCAGCGTCGGTGTCTTCTGCTTCTGCCCCCATTAAAACGGTCTCGTTCTAAAAAATGTTAAAGTATTGTGGTTCAATCGTTCTTCAACTGTATAGCACATGAATAATGTATTTTATGCAAACGATTTCATAAGAAGAGAAAGTTTTATATCGATTTTGAACTTTGAAAGATAAATAACAGAAAAATTTACTTTTAGAAAATATAATCCAAATTCAAGAAAAGTTTTGCAAAGTATGTAGAACTCACGTATCAGTTTTAAAACAATACAACATCGCTAGGTGTGAAATTTTGTGCACACTTTAAGGCTATTGTAAACGTAGTAAATCACTGATCAGATTTTACCTATTCACCTCTTCCAAAAACGCTATTTCAAAACATTGAAAACTCAATATTTTCTTCATTTAGTTCTATTTTTTTTTTTTAATTATTTATACAGAATGTCTCAAAGAAAAAAATAATGAAGTTCCCATCAGCAGCCCCAACACAAGGTTGGAAATTAATATAAATTCAATAGAGTTGACTTCGTCTGACAACAACTTTACAAAAGCAAAAATGTTGTTACTATTAATAAATTTTACAATTCATTTTTTTTTAAATAAATAAATGGAAAGGTATCGTTGTAAACAAATAGTTGTAATTGATTTGGTTGGAACTATCTATACTGTATAGTATGTGAAATTTTGGTGGTTTCCTGTTGGCGAAATATTAATGTTCAGTTAGCGAAAGGGAAAAACTAAACGAAAAATCGTTTTGTATTAAGACATAAATTAATATTAACTTCATAATATATTTTTGGTCGTAAAACACATGTTTTCAAATGTGTTTAATTACGAAATCTCTCAAATAAAATGCATTATTTATGCAGCTAAGCAGCGAACTCAGCGTGAACTGAATGTATATAAAGTAATATTGCAGAAACTACTGCTTACCACACTACTTTCACTCAGAACGCTCGTTTCAAGTATACTTTTTCTCGCCTTTTTCGACTTTCTGCCGTTCTTCTTATTTTTATTTTCTTTTTTCCGCTCCTCTCTCAAATAGTTCCGCCGTTTCAACTCTCTGTATACACTGTTATCCAAATAACCCAAAAGTTTGACCGCCATACAACCCAACAACTCACACAGTCTGACAATTAAAAACATCGCTCTGGGCAAGTCCTTTAACCTTTCATTAATTTGTTGCATCATCTTCTCAGCGATTTCCATAGGCTTGGAACACACCTGGAAAAAACAGTAAGAAAATCCTAACTGACTCGTCACATACTTACTCTAAAAATAAAGTCAAGACCAGCTTGCATTGCCTCAGAGTAAAAAGAATCTTTCCGGAAGAAACCTTCAACTAAAATGTCAGCCAAATTTTGAAAAATTGGATCCGTGTGTTTGATTCTGAAGGGGGGATTTTCGCTTTGGACATCAATTTTTTCTAATCCCGCTACAGACAATAATCGACAGGAACTAGCCAAGAACAGCATGTCATTTTTGTGTTGTTCAGAAAATATGATTTTAGAAACGACGTTGATGTTTTTCGTGATGATGGTGTATCTACCTATCGCTGCCATTCGTAGTATTTCAGCAGCCGCCCGGGCGTCATCATTCGACACCTGATCACGTTGGGTGTAGTACTGCCAGCATTTGTCAATAACGCTGTTATCTAAGATGCCTTTTGATGTCCACTCTGTTACTATACTTTGAAAATCGTCCAAATTTTCGTAACTGAGGTCTTTCAAGAGTGACAATAAACGGTTTACGATGGTTGAAGTGTGTTCGCTGGAAAATAAGAGTCAAGTACTGAAAAATATGGTTTAAAGCATTTACTTACGCCATACTCCTGGTATCCGTTGTCAAATATATTGCTTTGAAAGCTTCGACGACAGCAGTTTGACGCTCCTGTTCGCTGCATCTCATGATTTTCAGCATCTCTGCGATGTGGATTTTGGATACGATTATGTATTATCATAACGATATACTCACCTAAAACACCTTCAGTCGCGTTATCGATTTGAAACTGATACGCCGTAACGAAAAACTGGATTGCTTCATTCGTATCACTCATACTTTGTGAAAACAGCAAAGACTTCATTGGTTTGACAGCATTTTCGATTACTTTTAAAAACACCGTTGTATTTTCGAAATATTTAATTATGTTTTCCAGAGCTTCGATTTTTTTAATGTCTTCGGCTGTCATTCCAGCTCCTGTTCTAAGCTCTTCGACAATTTTTACGCTATTTATAAAGATGGAATGTAAAATTGTCATGTATACAGTGACTTCGTGATCCTCAGCAAGTTTCCTTGGATTCAAAAACACAGATAAATTATGTAATTAGAAAATATAAAATAGTACCTCATATTTTTAAATTCTTCAGTGCTATCTTTTAAGTTTCTGCACAATGTAAACGCTTCTAGGTATTTTTTCTCGTTCAAATAAATCCGAATTTGCTCAACAGTTTGGTCATTATCAAGTTCTTGAGGAACCTCAGTCTCTTCTTGTTCTTCATCACCTTTGTCTAACTGTTTCTGAATGATTTCTTTTAAATCTTCTTCGATATTCGATTTCCATTTGTTTTCAAGTTGTTCGATTTTGGCAAGCTGTGCTTCTTTATAACTGGATTCCATTTTCTCCAACAGCTGTTTTTTTTCTGCTAGTTGCAATTCGGCTTGTTTTAGTTGAAGCTATAAATGGACACAATTTAACGTTAACGTTAACATCAGATTGGTGTGCTGCAGACTGAATACTGCAACGAAGCATATTTTTCTAATACATATTACTCACTACTTGTGCTAAATGTTAAAAATTGGTGATAATGTATGATATTTATCAACTATTTTTTTTAAGTTTCTGGACATGTAATAATTTTCTCGACACATGTGTAAAAGGCACTACGCAAAAATTGGATATCCAAAAGCTTATACGCAATTATATTCATATTGTTTATTATAATTTTTGGAGATCCATTCTGTTCAAGTTTATATTTAATTTGGGATAATTGTCCGCCTCTTGAACGTAATTCTAATCATATACTACGTTCAAGAGGCGGACAACTATCCCAAATTGTTTATTACAGTATAGGGTTACTATCATATCGAAAAAATTATTCTAATTCGTCTTATATAACTTCGAGCGTAAACTTCGGTTTTTAGTAGTAGTCCCGATAGCCCCGCCTCATTATCAGCAACATATCTGTAAAACGTGAAAAAACTGTTTCCATGGTGTGGTGTCCCGATTTAAAATTAAAAATATGCACGTTTTGGTGCGTTTAGGGAGTGCAGGTAAAATTTGAGCGCATTTGACCCGGCTACTTCTTGTTGTTTAGTGGTATATACATAGTAGACGCGTGTTAAAATTGGTAAGTAAAGTTTTATTTATGATTTCACCTTAGGGCAATTGTTTCAACAAAATGAAATAAATCGCATTCAGCAACACTGTCCCTCCTCAATGAGCATAATTAGTGTAAGATCAATTTACTAACGATTTTCTAATCTGAAGTGATATATAAAAGTGCTGTCGGCTCCGACCAACTACGCCCTCCGCACTGCACAGAAACACCGGTTACACATTTATCGCATTTAATTATAGCATTATGACAGAACGAACTTTGAAAATTCTCGTCAGTTTGATTAATAACATCAAGGATGTTGCGTTATAGCGCGTGACATGTAACGACGAAAACTGAGAAGTCCTCGATGTCCTTGATCAGAGATATGGATCCCATATCCGTGATCTATAAAGATAGTCTTTGGTTTTGTTCTTATTTAAAGCCACGGGTTTTCCCTCTCAGAAAGGAGGAATAAACGATTCGCTCTTCATAAGGAATGTTCATTTTATAAAGCGGACACTGAAAAATTGCTACTAATTCAAGTACTTTGGGCTAATTTAATTTTCTTTCTTATAAAAATGTTTAACAATGTTAAATGAAATAATTATTCTTATTCTCTGATCAGTTATATTCAGAAACTATAAAATTTTCTAACTATTGCGCGAATACCGCGAATCACTGTTTGCACAGGTTTGTTTGTGATTTTTTTTTTAAATTCTCCAAGTCATGATGTTGTTCGGCCATCTTTTCTTAACACTGCTTTCATATTTGCCCATTATCGCTCAAGTGGACGAAGCTCAGGACAGTTGGGTGGTTTATCTTTCTTTTTTAAAAACTGTACATTATTGGCATTAAGAAGCTCCTGAGTGGCACCAGCGTAGTGAACCGAAGCCAAATCTGGCCAAAACAATGGAGGGTTATGATATTTGCAATAAACAGGCGATAATCGCGTTTTTATACATTCTTTCCTGTAATCATCGCCCCCAATTGTTCCAATCGTAAAAAAAAAACTAAAACTTTTTAGCCCACAAGAACAAATCGGTTGCCACACTAAGGCTTTTTTCCCAAACTTTTCAATTTTTTTTGTTTTCATGTCATCGAGGACATCTTCTCCTACGACTGCATTATAAAACTGGGAGCCGGGTAATGTATTGCAGTCCATTTTAACCTTCGTTTCGTTGTCCATCAAAAGACAACGATTTTTGTTCCTGACCAAAATTGTTTATAACTTCCTGCTTTTTTTTTGAAACTGTATGCGCTGCTTTTCGCTTCTTTTTAGGATTTTTTGCTTTAATACGTTCTAATGTTATTCCGAGTCTTTATATTTTGTACAGTACCTACGGTAACACCTTACTTCTTCGGTATTTCCCGCACAGACATACATTTCGTTAATTTTAGCAGCTTAATGATGTTTTCCTCAATATTTTTGTTAAGCGGGCCTTTTCTCGGTCTGGATTTGAGCAAATCTTCTAAAGTATTAAACTCCCGAAACTTTTTGATTATTTGGAACCCTGCTGATTTTGAACATTTAATTATTTTAGGCAGTCCCCCCAACGGAAATTTTTCGTAGCATCACTTTTGCAAAAATAATTTTCTTGCCCCAATGGCCATTCGCTTCATTTTAAAAAGAAATAACATTATTTTGAAAACAAAAATGGCATTTAATAGATATAACTTAAAGCTTTCATATCTAAAAACTAGAATAATTTAGATTAAAAATTAGAAAAGTGGCGTTACTTTAAAGGTGTCCGTTTAATAAAATGAACACTCCTTATTTTGCATTTTGACTTAAAGTCACTTTTCCAAACTTGTGGTTCAATAGTTGGCATCCGAACGCATTCCGCTATAAAAAAATTGGTCAAAACTTATTTCAACTGAACGTTTTTCAGAATTATACAATTTAATTTAGTGACATTTTATTTGATAACCTCTATATACGAAAAAAAAAAAAATAGAAGTAATGGTAAGAGTGTAAGCAAAAAGGAATGCTTATCTATAAGGCGGAATCAAAGGGGTGTTAGTTTTCTCATCCCAATTCCGAGGTCGGTAGCTTTACCCACTGCGCCAATAAATCATCGTGTTCATCGTCATTTATAAAAGGTTGTTATACAGTTTGGGTTTTTGCGAAAATGTTGATGTTTTGGATAAAAAATAAAGACGAATTCGTAAACCACACGTACGAGAGTAGTTATTTTAAAAATTGGCATGGTTCCTGTTAAAAAAAATTTCAAGGGACGTCATCAAATTTGTTCGTGGGGATAATTAGACAAATTTTGGTTGACATTTTACCATCTACATGATATTTCCAATATACTTGCATACCAAAATTTGACAACAGTCAGTTTAGTATTTCGTAGATTATCCGTCCAATAAAAATTGACACAGACGACAGTCTCATTTTGGTGGGATGTTTAGGTGAGGCATAATGTATTTGTGAGTTTTAGGTGCACACACCTGGATTCGATCTGGATTTTGTTACAGCAGATGAAGCTTTTATCAAATGTTGGTTGACTTTCCAGATGACTCAGATGAATTTTGACGCATTTTTTTTATAAATAGTGTGGTATCCTCAATTTGAAATTTAAATTTTGAACTGAGAAAAAAAAATTGTGAAACAGGTAGAACAAGTTCGGGAAGAGCGCAATTTTGACAGACTTGACTGTAATAGTTGAAACATTTGTTAAATTTTGGTATGTAGACTATTGTTTGTAATTTCATAAAACAGCAATTGTTTAAAACCAAATGAATCGCATTCCTTGCCACAAAACTCCTCCAATGAGTGTAACTAGCGTAAAACCAACTATTTATTGATATTCTGGTCTAAAATGTGCAAAATTTGACTATTCCATAAACATGTGAAATTCTTGCCTTTGTTGTTTGTAAATTCAGAGTTTGTATTACAATTTTAACTGTTCATGGTTCTAATACAATGTAACTGGAATTATGTAAATGTTCCTATAAAACACGTGGCGGAAACTCATTTATTCCGGATCAACTTATTTTAATTAAGATTATTTAAACTACTGTATGTTTTTATTTAAGTTATTACAATATCCACATTTCATAAACTTTTCACTCGAGATTTGTAAGAGTTTATTTATAAAATTTAAACTAATCTTAAACGTTAATCCATTTTGAGAGAAAGGACCTTGAAAATTATCATGAGTTAAATTATTATTATCCTTGTGAATTCGAAAAATGGGAGAGCTTTAATATTTTTCTTGCGGATGTAACAGTTCTTTTTTTACAGATTTAATACTTTCTTACAGATTTAATAATTTCTTACGGCTTGAATTTGAACATCTGGTCTCGAAGTACGCCGAGTGTTCTCCGAAACCACTTTATTTTGTAGTCCAGTCAAATTAGCGATCAACCTCGGAATGAGAGATAATAAGCTGAATTTTCGTATATACCTTCATTTTGGCGTTCTAAAAGTTGTCTCAAAAGCCTCATAAAATCTCGTGTCTGCGTCGCAAGTTATTCCAGTTCAAACGTCAAAAAAAAAACAGTTTTTCGCGATTATCTCGGTTTCTATTGTCCCAATGATGTTAACATTTATTATCATAATCGTAGAGCATAAAATTTGGAACAAATTTTATTTGAAACATTTTTTGATGCGCTCAATCGTTTTTGAGATAGAGGGCGGTGAGAGCGCAGCGCTCATCTATACGTACTGTTACGTATTGTAGTGCAAAATCAACCGTGAATATATGTGAATAGCTTGAATTTTGAATAATATTTATTATTTATCAGTTAATACATTGTATTTAATAACATTTTACATATTTTCAATATATTCCTTTAATAATACTTACCTACTTTGTGTAATTAAAAACTCTTTAGGTGAAATACTTATTGTGTATCTTAATTTATTGAAAGTAAATTTTAAGTAGAAAAATAATTAAGTACTTTATGTTTAAAAATGCAACTCTAGTAGATATATTAGATAATATATTATACTTGTTATGGTATTATATATCTTAAAGTTATATTAATTTATTCAAAGTAAATTTTAAGGAAGTGAAACGAGTCAATATATTTTAATTTTATCTTTATTCAGCAGCTGTACATTTCTTACGATTTTTTTGTACCTTACATTACAGTACGTATGGATGAGAGCTGCGCTCTCACCGCCCTCTATCTCAAAAACGATTAAGCGCATCAAAAAATGTTCAAATAAAACTTGTCCAAAATTGTATGCTCTACAATTATTATAATATACATTAACATCATTGGAGCAATAGAAACCGAGATAATCGCGAAAAACTCTTATTTTTGACTTTTGACCTTGAATAACTTACGACGCAGACACGAGATTTTATGAGACTTTTGAGACAACTTTTAGAACGCCAAAATGAAGGTATATACGAAAATTCAGCTTATTATCTCTCATTCCGAGGTTGATCCCTTTTTTATGCTAAAGTGACTGGACTATTTGATTTTGATCGTATTTCATGTGTTGTGTTTGTATCTATATAATACGTGACTTCGGTCCACAAGGTAATCTGTGAATTGAATTTGATTTGAACAATAATTTGAATTAACCACATGTAGATTTTGTTGTTTAAAATTGTTGATGGTGTGCAGCATAATTTAACCTCATGTAGATTCATAAATTTACGCATTCATTAATTTTTTTGAGTCACCCTGTATATGCAAATCGAAAAAATTTGAATGGAATGATAAATCACAAGAAGAGACTCACCATATTTTGTACATTTTAGATAGGATTTATTCAGCAAAATTTTGTGGTGACGTCATAAATTTTTTAGGGGGGACGACCAAATACATTTTGATCAAAAATTTACCATGCTTATGATAATTTTTAAATATCTTCAAGATTTCGAAGCATTCGGTTTTGTAGTTCCTGAGTAAATCAGTAAAATAAATTTACGCTTTCATTTATTTTCTTGAATCACCCTGTATATGCAAATCCAAAAAATATGAATGGAGTGATAGATCACAAGTACAGACTGATCATATTTTGTACATTTTAGATATGATTTATTCGGCAAATTTTCGAGCTGACGTCATCAAGTTTTTGGAGGGGATAAGCAAATCTATTTTGACTAAACATTTATTATGCTCTTTATAACCTTAAAACATCTGCAAGATGTCAGAGCATTCCGTTTTGTAGTTCCTGATTAAATCAATAAAATATATTTACGCATTCATTAATTTTTTTGAGTCACTCTGTATATGCAAATCCAAAAAATATGAATGGAGTGATAAATGACAAGTACAGGCTCATCATATTTTGTACATTTTAGATATGATTTATTCGGCAAACTTTCGAGCTGACGTCATCAAGTTTTTGGAGGGGATAAGCAAATATATTTTGACTAAACATTTATTATGCTCTTTATGACCTTAAAACATCTGCAAGATTTCAGAGCATTAGGTTTTGTAGTTCCTGATTAAATCAATAAAATATATTTATTGGTTTAATCAGGAACTACAAAACCGAATGCTTTGAAATCTTGCAGATGTTTTAAGGTTATAAAGAGCATAATAAATTTTTAGTCAAAATATATTTGGTTATCTTCTACAAAAAACTGATGACGTCAGCTCAAAAGTTTGCCGAATAAATCGTATCCAAAATGTACAAAATATGATGAGTCTGTACTTGTGATTTATCATTCCATTCATATTTTTGGATTTGCATATGCAGGGTGACTCAAAAAAATTAATGAAGGCGTGAATTTATTTTATTTTATCGATTTAATCAGGAATTACAAAACCGAATGCTTTCAAATCTTGGGAATATTTTAAAGTTATTATAAGCATGGTAAACTTTTGTTCAAAATGTATTTGTTCATCCCTCCTAAAAAAATTGATGACGTCACCCTTAAATTTTGCTGAATAAATCCTATCTAAAATGCAAAAAATATGATGAGTTTGTACTTGTGATTTATCATTCCATTCATATTTTTTAGATTTTCTTAAGAGGTGGTTCAAAAAAATTAATGAAGTCAATTTATTTTATTGATTAAATTAAAAGCAACACTTATTATTAGTATTACACCCCAACCAACCCAATTTGGTAGACACAAAATTTGTTAAAGGAAAAACTCGGTTGAAACATAAGGTTAGCACGCTTATTTACATCGACTTTAACATTACAGACCTGCATTTGTTTTATGCGCTCACTTGGTTCCGCGAATGTGAAATAGACATGTTTTTAATCAACCAATTGTGAATTTTACCGTCAAGAATTAAAATAAAACCAAATGTTTTATATAATAAGCGGAAGTCGAAGCAATAAAACCGATGGTCGTTTTGTTTACAGTTTCTCTGTTTGACTCTCACGTATGCTGTTACGCCTGTCATCTTAAATTAAGAATGTTTATACATACACGATTTTCAGTTGCCTCTGATACGTATACGTGAGTAAATTGTTTCGTTATTTTATTGATTATTACAAATCAATATTCAAAACGACCCAATTCATTTTCCCGAAAATTTGAGAATATAATAATTTTATTCTTAGTATTACACTACATCTATCCCAACTGATATACGTGTCCTTGCAAAAATGTTGATGACGTCATCGCAATTTTTTTTTTAAATTCCCACTACAAAAATGTAATGAGAAAAAAAACACAATAGGCATGCAGTCGTCAAGTTTCCGACAGCGAGGGAAGTACTGTCTAAACTCTTTAGACCAATTTTTTCTTTGTGTGTTTACATTTGTGATGTTCAAATATGTATTTGTTTTGAATTTTAACATTTGCTTTCATTTTTGAAAAATGGTAAAGGGTTTGCAGCTAGCAACTAAGTGGGCCCGCCAACTTATTTCACAATTTTTACCTTCTCCAGAATGGAGAAATAAAGAATTGTGTCCTCCATATTTTGTGTTTAATTTAGGCGCACTTTTCCAGTCTTCAGGTTCACTACTTTACATTTGAGCGCATTTCGCCATAAAAAAAAAATACACGAAACGTAAGGTTTTATTTTTCTGATGACCATAAATCAAGGACAAATTTTAAAATTCTGTTTACATTTCATGTCTAATTTTGACGGAATGTTTGGGTTACCACAACAGATCAAAATACAACTTTGCTATGCTTAGATGTTTTTTTTTTGTTCAATTGTAGAAACTGTAAAACTGTACAGTATTAACAAAAAAGCACATGAAATTTACAAAAACAATAATGAAACTTAAAAAGAATTGCGTCAGGTGTCGTTTACATCCGATATACCTGGTTGGGTTTGACGAAACGAGAATCTGTACGAGCAATGTGCAATAGATCACATAATTACACTGAAATTTTATCAAGTATAATCCGATTTCACTGAGAATGTTTAAATGTTTGGATTTGGGACGAAGCGACCCAGTACTCCGTACTAAAAACATGATAATCTATGTTTAATAGTTACGTTTTGAAATAGAATAAACATCAAGTAAAAGTTAGTTTGAAAGAAAGGACATAGACTCACAAGAGAAAAAAGACTTAAGACTTAGGGTATAGTCTAATATCAGATATAAAAACAAATACTTACATTGGCTCCATAGGGATTATGTTCCAAAAACGTAGTGACGCAATTGATTGCACTCTTTCTAACATTGGCAGCTTTATCCTTCAAATGTTTAATAATTTCACTCAAAATCTCATTCTGAAAAGTCAGTGGTATCGCGTTCTCCTTTTGTAATTTACTCAGATTTTGAATAACTTTGACTCTGACAGGAGCCGAAACATCACGAACGTGTTCAATTATCACTTCAAAAAATTCATCCCGCAGTTCCTTCTGTTCTTCCGTAAGATCATGCTTAGTTAAAACTTTTAAAACAATTTCATACATGACGTTTAAAACGGCAATACGCAATGCCGTAGACTGAAACATTCGAAGTAAGATAATGTAATTATGATTCTGATTTTGTAAACTTACCTCATGAGCCAAATATTTGTTGAGATACATCACTTCAGGAAGTATGAGATCTGGAATTGCTACAGCTAGCTCTGTTAGGAACAGCGAGCAACAGCGAGTGCCTAGAGCGTCTTGGAATGTTTCGTCAACTTGCCATTCCGTGGCTTCTTTGACGAAATGATGAATCAAACTCTGGCAGTTGAACTGATTTACTATCATCGTAATCCCCTCCGCCACACAGTGGACAACGTGTTCGTACATTCGAATCGTGCGAATCAGGCGGGTGACAAATGTTTTGCCGTATTCGTATATTTTCACCAAATTACCAAACACGCCGAAGATCTCCATTATTACGGCTTTTTCTTGTTTAATCGATGGATTTTGTAATAGCACGAAACACAGCTCTGCTATGAGACCCACGAAGTCATGTTCCACTATCGGGGGATCCCAAAACAAATTGATTTCTCTTTGGATTATACTACTAATCGCTGCAAGTGCTTTTGATTTATCAACGGTAAAATTGTTGCTCTTTTTATTATCTTTATTCTTATCTCTGCCCACAAGATCGTCTTGGTTTTTTTTCTTTTGATCTTCTAAATATATTATAAATTGTATGTATATGTAAACCAGCATTTTCAAAACGTTAACCATTTTTGCTTTAATTTCGTCGGTTAGGTTGTCTTTGTCGTCAAGTAGAAAAAGTATTGTGTTATTTAGATCTGCGGTTGCTTTTTGTAAGTTATTGTACGCCTTGTGAAGTACGTCAGGTCTTAGTTTATCAGCATGGTGTAAAATGGAGTAGTAGGTATCAAAGTTTTCCAATATGAAATTAGGACCTTCCTCGCGTAAACACATATGGGCTTCTGTAAGAACAAAATGCACGTAAATAGTAGTTTTAGTAAATTTTACCATCTACATGCTGTTTTCAAAAGTTTCGGAGATGATCTATCTAGTAAAAATTGACATAGACGACAGACAGATCGCAGACGACAGGCAGACAGATAGAAACGGGAGATTTGTTGTTTTGTACATACTTTACGGCATTCTGAAATTTTACAATTATGTCTGTGGTATACGATTCTGCCTGCTACTGGTAGCGTACTATTTAGACTGTGTCTCTTATGTGGATAATTGGACATACTAGCAAAAAACTTCCGAATTTCGAAAGCCCCTTCTTACCGTCTAATGGTGACGCCTATGATCTTAACCTTGACACAGTATAGAGATCATTCAGAAGGGACAACTACTGTCAGCGCCTTTGATGTTTCTGACCCGAATTTTAAGCCGCCGCCGGTGGTCGTTGCCTAAACTATTTCTAGACGTCGCCGCCCAATTTAAAAAATATTACAAGCGCTATATTTAAAAATTTAAAACTGATTCCTATACACAATTTACTACACACTACTTTGAGAGAGAAGTTGAACTTTAATCTACAATACATAAACGTGATGATTTATTACAGACTTTAATTATTCGCACAATTCACACAATCTTAGGATACTTGTAGTTTTGTGATGATTATTCAAGTAATGTAACAAATACGTATAAAAACAGAGATTTATTTCCAAGAAAATAAAAAAATACATTGAAATTAAAATGAAAAAGAGTGGGTGGGTGGAGTTAGCAGCTGCCAAGATAAGACTGATTTTGGCAAATGAGATACCCTCTAAGGGGCCAATTCCAAGTTGGTGGCGCAAGTCACTGGTGCAGCGCAACTTTATAATGCTAACTTGGGTATCAAATGCTGGTTGCTAGGGGTGACGGAATAAACAAGCGCAGTTTTGTCGAACTTTCCATTGAAATTTGCACCATGGAGTTGCGGCACCTCTAGTAGGCAGTGCAAGTTGGCGCAATTTATCTCGAAAAATTGCGCTTGTTTATTCCGTCACCCCTAGCAACCAGCATTTGATACCCAAATTAGCATTATAAAGTTGCGCTGCACCAGTGACTTGCGCCACCAACTTGGAATTGGCCCCTTAGAGAAGAGAGGGCGGGTGGGCGGGGCTAGTACCTGCTAAGATAAAACTGATTTTAGCCAATGAGATACCTTCTACGAAAAAAGAGGGGGTGGGGGTGGGTTGGGTCTAGTTCCTACTAAGATAAGAGTGATTTTGGCAATGACATATTCTTTAAGAAATTTAATTCAATTATTATAAGAAAATACACTAAAGGCTCCAAAGTACTTTCAAGTTCTTTCCAAACAGGAATACCTAGAACCTCAAGACTGTTAAAAAAAACCGAAATTAACTCAGAAACAGATCAGATCAGAATTTTCCAAAAATAGAATACCAAAGTCCCTCAAAATTGTTCTAGATAATTTACAAAAAAAATCTCCATGGGCTTCCAAAATAATACACCATTAAAAAAAACACTGCGGCACTCAAGACTTTTTCAAATTCATAAAACACAAAACACTAAAAGCTCAAAAGATTTTTTCAAGTTCATCCAGCAACAAAACACCAGATTCCTTTAAATTTATCCGAAAATAAGGTAAAACACCCGGAGACATAAAATTAACTGCGAACATTTTAAACGTAGGGTTTTGCAAACTTTGACAATTTTTGATGTGACATTGTTGTTATATGAAATTTGATCAAATTATTGCAAAAACAACACAACCGTATCTTTGTACATTCTAACTGAAATGTTAATTAAAAATGGTCATGGGCGAAAGAAATATTAACTAAAAGTTTTCTTACTAGTTATCGTGATGGTGAATGTATTCTTTAGTTGTTAAACGTAGCAAAAGAACCAGTTTTAAAATCATTATAAATCCACCAAAATGTGAGAAGGAATTCTTTTAATATTTTTCCCAGATTCATCAGTAGATTGTTAAGACCGTAGCGGAGAGTTAATCCGCCATTTTTCAGACACCTGGTATAGTTATATAAAAAATTCGGGACTAGGTTTTTTTTTGGTCATAAGTATGGTTTCCTAGATGCTAGTCCTGATGGTACTATATATGAAGAGGAAACGCTAATATACATGTTATTCTTAAAGAAAAAAAAACTATAAACAATAGTTAGTATGTATACAATGGGTCCTATCAAAACATGAAGAATATTTTTTAGAATGTTTATGAAGAAAATTACATTTAACTGAAAATAATAATAGAACAAAATCAACAAAACTGTGTAGTTCTACTGAAAGATCAGCTTTAAACCATTCCTAAGCAAGCAAAACCGGCAAAGTCAATGCGGCTAAGCTGCCAAATTTCCAATGTTATAGTTTTGGAAATTTCATTGTACCCTATAAAATTTTATTGGCAATAACGAGACGGACAGTAGTACAATAGCAAGAGATATTTACAACTTAAGTTGTAGCGTGCCGGTAATCCCCAGATGTTAGAAAGCAGAATAATCTAGGTCCAGAGAGGGACCATCGTTACTCATGAACGGAAATGACCATTATTTTATAAGTACAACTACCTGCTAAATGTTCTCAGACAAATTCGAGTGAACTGGTGTGAGCCATAAATATTTCTTACCATTGTACTACTGTCGTCTCGTTATCGTCAATAAAATTTTATAGGGTAGAATGAAATTTCCAAAACTATACTACCTACTAAAGATTGTCTAGAATTATAAAAATTTTATGAACTGCCAAAGTTAATTCGTTTTACTGTCCTCAATTTTAATGCACAGCTAAAGAGCCTGTCAAGGGAAAGCCGATGTTTACTGCACCCAAGTTCGCCCCGCGCCGGGCAGTCTGGCAGGCAGGTACAAATTTCTTGCAAAAGCTGCAGTTCGAAAAGGGCTGTAAAAAGAATTAACTCTGGGAGTCCATAAAATTCTTATAATTCTAGACAAACGTTACTAGAGTTACTAGATAATACTATCTCATGGAGGCCTCCATGTGCTATCTGGTAACCACCTGATAACTCTATTTCAGAAGGCACTGTATTTCAGACGTGAGCTGCGCCCTCTCATAAGGTCACAAGACAAACGACCACCCAAGAAACGGGTTATAGTATTTCCAGTGATAGATTCAACTATTTTAAATATCCATAGATCACAAAAGTCCCCAGAATTAAGCGCGCGAATTGTAGTTTGGTGAATTGCAGCCTTGAATTTTTTGACAAATGTCATTGAGGTTAGACGCGCATGCGTTGGTTTCAATCGTTTAAATTAAAAATTACATTTTTTCGGGTTTTTAGAATTTGTGTTGTGCTTTAGATTTTTGTATTGGGTTACATTAATCGTATAGTGATGTGTTTATTATGATATTTGTAAGTTAAGTTAAAATTGTGTTATCTGTGAACTAGTGTTGTGGGTAAATACAAACCTACCTAGACAAAAATATAAACTCCATAAACAATAACGATCTAATAATGAGTAATATTGCCCAGGTAAGTGTATGATGGCTTATTTAAAAGGCTTCATGTGTATATTTTTTAGGAAAACCAAATGAAGCGAAATTACTTAACAGTAATAGACAATACTGTGGCGCAAAAGATGATTGCAAATGCTTACGCTTTCTTCAAAAATAAAAATCTATGCTTGGGATCGCCAGCTGAGGTCAACAAATTGTCCAGTTGTATGCATGGTTTCTTATGGGTATTTGAATGTTTATAGATCACAGCTAAATGTCTCGGAATTAGTAGGAACCAAGTAATAAAGTATAAAAATTTTACTGATGCAACTGCAAGAAAAATAAAACGAAAACGTCCAAAAAAGCAACATCTGACCTGGATCCAAACATCAAACGAGAAGTTCGTCTTGTATTGTACGATATGGTGCAAAACAGTAAGACTTACATCAAATTTAACTTTTCTGACGCAATTTTCTTCCAACTAGAATTTGAACTTAACTATTCCATAGATTCCCAGAGATTCAATTCAAATAGATACAATAAATTTTAATTACATTAAATTTGTTCTAGGAATTCATGTAAATTTGGATACCTTGGGAGCAGAATTATCAGCTAAATTTATCTACACATATAAAAGATCTAGTTTAGCACTTCTATTAAAGAATTTGGGATTTTCATACAAAAAAGATGATAGCAGACGTGCTTTAATGGAAAAACCACATGTTGTAGCGCTGAGGAAAGTATTTCTATCAAAATATATGGAGAATGTTAATTCTGCAGAGAAAAAACCTTTCATATATTTGGATGAAACTTGGATATTTTCAAATGGAACCGTTAGGAGATCATGGCAGGATGAGGATCTATGTTCTGTCAAAAGAACTTCTGGAGGCGGCGGTAGAGTATCTACTACACTGAGTTTAATTTAGGCTAATACAGGATCAATGCATTTATGTCTAATACTGAAGTTACCTCAAAACAATTTTAGGTAGATATATTATAATCAATGCTGGTAACGAAGAAGGATTTGTAGCAAATGCTTCTCTTATATTTAAAAGTAAAAACAACACACTGGATTATCATCACGAAATGAACGCTGAAAATTTTGAAAAGTGGCTGCAAAACGATTTGTTACCAAAACTGGAAGAACCTAGTATAATAGTCTTATTAGACAACGCCAGTTACCATAGTCGACTTGAAGAAAAGCGACCTACAACGGCGTGGAAAAAAGTTGATCTTCAGTTGTGGCTGCAAAAGAACTGTATCGCATTTTCAGAGTTGCATAAAAAAGATACACTGTTAAAGCTATGTAAAGTTCATTATAAAAATCCAGTGTATGTAGTAGACAATATTATTACTGCAGCTGGTCATGATGTTTTACGTTTGCCTCCATACCATTGTATATTTAATCCCATAGAGATGGTATGGAGTCAAACAAAACGTTTCTACGACAAAGACGTTTTAAAATCTAAAAACCCACTTGATGCCTGGAACCGAGCCCTACAAAATGTAACACCGGAACAATGGAAAAGCTATGTTAAACATACAGAAAATATTATTAAAATCTATTGGGACAAAGAAAAGTTTGTAAAAGTAAATAATATTATAATAAATTTAAACGTAGAGACAGATGAGAGTGATAGCGATTTTAATTCTGCTGAAAATGATATATGAAGAAATAAAGTTCTATTAACAAAGTTCTTGTATAGCAATTTAAATTAAAAATTAAGACCTTAATAATAAGATATCTCGAATTATAAGAGATTAAACATACTTTATTTAGAATGCTGTAAAGTTTCTTCAAAATTCATTGCTTTATTAAAATTTAGTAGTGCGCAAAATTTTAAATAAAAAAATTAAATTTTAAATTTTCGCGCGCTACTTAATTTCTAGTAACTTTTCTGTCAGTCAATCTATCAGCATACAGACTATACTAAAAATAGCGAGTTGCCCCTACCGATTAATCTCTATACTGTGGATTCTAATTCTATACCTACTGTGAACTTGGATTTGTGTAGGCAACATTTTTAACATTTTGTGCATACACTACATTGTCCTTCATACACAAGAAGTATATTGGCTTTTTGGAAATTAAAAACATTACAAATTTCGTACAAAACCAAATTTTATATTTATATTCGTTTAGTTAAACAAAACCTTAATCCTGTCCAACATACAGATTTCGCATAAAGACAAAATACTACATACCTTCCAATTTGTCGATTATTTCCGCAGGAATCACAACATTTTTCACTGTATAGTTGCTGTGAACTTCACTTAGCAGCTCTGCTCGATCTGTTGGAATTGTAAACACAATTTCTGCCATGATTTTTTGAAACAACACTCAGCTTCAAATACTTGTCACTTGATTTTTTCAACAAGATGTCCTAGTAAATCTTTAATAACACTGCACTTTCGTTATTAACATTCACAAGACATTTCTAAAAAATGCTCCAAAACATTCAAACTGGCACAACACTACACCAATACGTGCATCTGACAGTTACAAAACCTCAGTCTGTTGTTGCGGCGGTGCCAAGTGATGTACTGCATCAACTAAAATATAAAGAAATGAGTCATAACAAAAAGTAAAGCGCCACTAATACTTCAAAAATTGAAGAAGGTGATCCCATTTACTGTTTTTGTTGAATATAAATGAATAGTAGTGCTGTAGTTATTAAAATTACCCTTTATATATGGCAATCCTGCAAATTTAAAATCCTCTCTTGTTATTGGCTGGTTTATTTGATGTTTTTATTTCTGGTTCTATTTCCACTTAATATAACCATTTACCCAATCCCTTTTCTAATGAAATTCAAATTGAAGTTTATTCAATAAATGTGTAATAATTAGTTATTAATAACACAAAGCAGTAAAAATTATAATAAACATCTTTCGGTAATGTCAACAGGTCAACTGTCAGATGTCAAATCGAACGTTACCTCGATGTTTGACCTGGTTTGACGGTAAGACCTAACCTTACTTTATTGTTTATGGAGGGAAATTTTGTATGAATTTGTATTTGTTGAAACATAAATCACATCTCAATTATGGAAGCAATGGAAATAGACGACACCCCACAACCAGGACCTTCAAAAGAACCAACCACCTCTGGTGCTAGCAAAAAACCAGATAATCTACCATGGTAAATATAATAGTTTCGCGAATTTTCCCATGACTTTTTATTTTAGGATAGAAAAATATCGCCCTCAAACATTTCAGGAAATAGTAGGCAACGAAGACACAACAAAACGATTGTCAGTAATAGCCAAACAAGGCAATTTACCAAACGTGATCATTGCTGTGAGTACATACATTGTACGACATAACCAGTCCGTTATTAATACATTTAGGGTCCTCCTGGTGTGGGCAAAACAACCACTATCCTCTGCTTAGCTAGAATTCTCCTGGGCCCGTCATTCAAAGAAGCAGTTCTTGAGTTGAACGCCTCAAATGATCGAGGAATTGACGTCGTGAGGAACAAAATCAAAATGTTTGCCCAACAAAAAGTGACACTGCCAGCAGGGCGCCACAAAATTATAATTTTAGATGAAGTTGACAGGTTTGTTGATATGATTAAATTGCATACAATACTTTTGTGGATGTTGTAGTATGACCGAAGGCGCTCAGCAAGCCCTGAGACGCACAATGGAAATCTACAGCAACACCACTCGTTTTGCCTTGGCTTGTAATTACAGCGAAAAAGTGATAGAAGCCATACAATCGCGGTGTGCTATTCTTCGGTATTCTCGCCTTACAGATGCTCAAATTCTAGCAAGAACTCTGCAAGTGTGCCAAAAAGAGAATGTAGAGTATGTTGAGGATGGACTAGAAGCTATAGTTTTCACAGCGCAGGGTGATATGAGGCAAGCGCTTAATAATCTTCAATCTACTTATAATGGTTTTGGGATTATTAATGCCGCAAATGTGTTTAAAGTGTGTGATGAGCCTCATCCTATGCTTATTAAGGATATGCTCAACAGTTGTATTAGTGGTGATGTGAGAAAAGCATATAAGGTACTGTTTAAGTTTGACATTCCCTTCTTCTCTTGTAAATTAATTATTGTTTTAGATTGTTGATCATTTGTGGAATTTGGGATATGCAGCAGAGGATATAATTAAAAATATTTTTAAAGTGTGTAAAAATATGGATATTGACGAGCCTTTGAAACTCGCTTTTATTAAACAAATTGGCGTTACACATATGAGGATTGTTGATGGATTGTGTTCTTTAGTGCAGATGTCTGGACTAATCGCAAGACTGTGTATGGAGGCTCAAGGGGTGAAAAAGTGATAATTTTGTTGTTCATTATGGTCGTCGATTTTTTTGTATTGGTATTATAGACTCTCATTAATTTACTGTGTTTTATTACCGATTATAAGTACAACATATAATGTAAACACATATATTTTCATAAATTGTTTAAATAAAAAATATATTACAAACATAATAAGGTACACAAGATGATTCTCACTATCTTTATCGAAAATGCAACTGTATGTAGTAAAAGACACTACATACTTGTAAAAATTTGAAACATACATATTCTTGGATTAGAATACCTAACTTATTTTGAGACAGATTAGTGTCAGCATGCAACAAGAATGAAATCACACTTTTCAAACTGATTGGAACTACTAAATTTAGTCGCTGTCACTATCATTGTTAATTTGTTGTGCTCTTAGACCTTCTTGCAATTGCAATACATGTTCAATTGGATGTGGTTTACCATCTTCGCCTACTCTACAGGGTTGAATAGCTCCACATTTGGTTAAATTATGCATCAACTCCACTAATTTCATAGCTTCATACTCTTTCTGAAAAATAAAAATTCGCATATTATAAATTTGGTTATTGTTACGAACTGACAATCATTTTACAGAGGGCACATGATTTCAAATACTCCTATTGAGTAACTATTATAATATGTAGAAAAATACGCCACACGAAACTTTGTACTATGTATACATGTATAAGAAATGAATTCTTACGTAGGTAATACAATTGTAATAACTAAGCAATTTTTATGGTAAACTTCGATATTTGGCAAAGTATACTTTTAGTAATGATTTACAAGTAATCAAAATTTGATATCTACAACGTAATACTACATAGTTAAAAGAAGATTAGGTATGTTCAAAAATATACAAATACATACAATAATAATCTATGAAATAAATCAGTAAAACGTCTGAGGTATTTATATACAGAATGTTCATTTTATCTGTTCACGCCTGAATATTTCTGCACAAGCAACCCATTTTACGTTTCATAAACGGCTTTGATTAATTTTTATTTTTAAATAATAATGAACGCATAGATAGCAATGATTAAAACTAAAATTATGAAAAATTATTTCTGTCAGCCAAATATTTTCAATTTTCGTTTGCTTTTTTTTTCGAATTCTTAAAAAACAGACATGCTATTAATATTGGGAAAGTGTGACAAAAATTTTTATGCTGCTGTTCGTCTCTCAGGCAATACTCCAATAGAAGAACTCCCTCAAATCAAGCGTTTAGAAAACTTGAAATAAATTTACAGAATTTGGGCAATTCAAAAAAAAATAAAGTTAGAAATCGAACTGTAACAACGTCGGATAATGAAGCTGCTCTAATTGAAATTGTAGCAGAAAATTCCCACGTAAGTCAAAGACAAATTGAAAGACAAATGGAGGTTAGTTTCGGTTCGGTTTTCAACATCTTAACGGCAAACCGATTTCATCCATACCATGTGACAATTGTCCAACATTTAACAGAATGCGATTTTATCCGACGGTTAGTGTTTTGCGAATTCGTGAGGGCTCAATTACAATCAAGATGTTTTATTTAACGTTTTGTTTACGGATGAAGCCACGTTTACCAGTAACGGGTGTGTCAATAGATACAACTCACATTACTATGCCTAGCAAAATCTCCATTGGTATCAGGAAAAGCACTTCCAAGAAGTTTTCAAAGTTAATGCTTGGTGTGGAGTTGTTGGTAACCATGTCATTGGTCCACATTTTTTTTGAAGGAAATTTAAACGGCCCTATGCATCTAAATTTTTTAAAGAATATTTTACCTGAACTGTTGGAAAACGTTGAGCTAGACATACGAAGAATAGTTTGGTTTCAATTTGATGGCATGTACGGAGCCCTGATCTAACGCCATTAGATTTATTTCTTTGGGCGAAGGTGAAAAATGACGTTTATAGGGTCCCAATCGAAAATGAAAACCACTTACGTGAAAGGATAATAGCGTCATGCAGATCCATAACTCCCGACATGTTAGGTAGAGTTCGTAGAAATTTTGAACGTAGGATAGGACTTTGTGAAGATAGTGGAGGCAGACATTTTGAGCATCTAATATATATAAATCTCGTGTCACAATGTTGGTCCTCAATGGACTCCTAAACCACTTAACCGATTATAATAAAATTCGCACACCATGTGCAGTTCGATCCAACTTGAGGGATAGGATAGTTTAAATCTCAAATTATAGTCGCAATTTTAATTTATTGCTAATTATTTGTCTGCTATTATTTGACAGTCACAATTATCTGTTAACTCCAAATGATTCTAACAGATGTCGATACCTTTCGACTGGGTTTCTAATATTTAAACGATTAAATTATTATTGTCAGTCAAATGCCACCGAAAAAATCTAACCTCAACAACGCGAGCAGCAAAGGGTCACGACGCAAACGTGTTGAAAGAGCTCAGCAATTACCAGAACAAATCGAAACAAGAAATGCAGCTGAAAGATTCAGGACTGCAGAAAGTCGTGCACAAGAATCTCAAGAACGACATGTTATCCCTCGCAAGCACAAACTTTGTGGGAAAAATATAAAAATTGTATGACAGAAGACATCTTGCACCGAATTAGACAAACATATCAATGCCAAAACATAGATTATACACCAGAGATGTACAATGAAGCATTGGTCTTGATCGAGGATTTATGTGTTCTTATTTCAAATTTACCACTTGATCATTATGGTATGCCATCACCTAATCGTCCAGCCACCGACTTAGTCAATACCGATTTACAACGAGAAAATCAATATGACCATGGAAGTTTAGCAACAATTATCATGAACAGTGAACCATTACTGACAGCAGAACAAAAAATTATTTATGATCGGATTATGCTGGCTGTTGCTGCTGAACAAGGCGGTTTTTTTTTCTTGGATGCACCCGGTGGAACCGGTAAGACATTTTTGACATTAGCAGTAGCATCGTCAGGCATTGCGGCTACTTTACTGGATGGTGGGCGAACAGCACATTCAACATTCAAGCTGCCATTGGACGTTCATAATAAACCAGATGCAATGTGTAACATCAAAAAGAATAGTGGAATAGCTGCAGTGTTGCGGAAGAGTTCTATAATAATTTGGGATGAGTGCACAATGGCACACAAATATTCACTTGAAGCATTAAACAGAACTATGCAAGATTTAAACAGCAATAATAAACTTTTCGGTGGTGCTATCTTACTTTTGTCTGGTGACTTCCGGCAGACCTCACCGGTTATACCTCGCTCTACTTTCGCGGATGAGATTAATGCATGTTTGAAACAATCATTCTTATGGCGAAGTGTTGAAACACTTCGATTGACCATAAATATGCGATTACAATTGCAAAATGATCCATCAGCACAAATATTTTCCGAACAACTACTAGATATTGGGAACGGTAAAATAGAACTGCAACCAAATACGCAATGCATTAAACTACCAGACAATTTTTGCACTGTTGTTCAGGATAAAAATGAATTGATTCAGAGTATTTTCCCGGATATACAGAATAATTGTTTGAATCATGAATGGCTTAGTCAACGGGCGATTTTGGCAGCCAAAAACGTTGATGTTGACGAAATTAACTTCCAGATACAACAGTTGTTACCAGGTGATCTGATGTCTTTTAAATCAATCGATACTGTTGTTGATGAAAATGAAAGTGTAAATTTTCCGATTGAATTTTTAAATTCATTAGATATCCCTGGAATGCCACCACATAATCTTCGATTAAAGATTGGTTCCCCTATTATTCTCCTCCGTAATTTGAATCCACCTCAATTATGTAACGGTACGCGTTTGGTCATCAAAAAGATCACCGGAAACATTCTTGAAGCAACCATTTTGGCTGGGAAGTTTAAAGGAAAAGTGGTCCTGCTGCCACGTATTCCGATGATACCATCAGATTCTACCATACCCTTCAAAAGGCTACAGTTTCCAATTCGTTTAGCTTTCGCCATGTCTATAAATAAATCTCAAGGTCAAACAATGTCCATTTGTGGTTTAGATTTGGAAAATCCATGTTTTTCTCATGGGCAACTATATGTTGCGTGTTCACGTGTTGGGAACCGTCGAATCTATTTGTGTTAGCTATAGACAGGTTAACCAAAAGCATTGTGCACCGATTGGTGTTAAATTAAATTGAAATTGAAAGTATTTATAATTCAAAAAAATAGATATTAATGTTTAAAACTTTAAGACTGTCTGCCTTGCCTACCTCATTCATGAGTTTAAGCGTCACATGTTATTTACTGTATTATACTGTAATATACTTATATTTGTTATAAAATTAAATGGAAATAATAAATCTGATAAATGTTTATTTTGTACCTATTGATTTCTGCTTAATATCAAGTGTAAGAACATTTTAATTACCTAATTGTGTTCAACGTACTTCCCCTTCAAATCTCAATCCAGTGAATTTGTATACCAACATCAACATTTTCGTCTTTGTTCGTAAATAATTTCATTGTACTAAAGGGTTATAGTAGTAGAAAGTCAAATAAGGAGATCACCATATTTTTTTACAAATACCATCTGTGTGAAAAAGCATAGTGGACTCCGTGACTGATGTTCTCTTATTGTTCCTCTTAGATTGTTTACTATAATGTAATATAACAAAAACTTTAGCCACAGCAACGCGTGGCCGGGTCAGCTAGTTTATTATAAATTCGTTTTCGTTGTAACCTGATCCATTATTAAATTGAGTATTAATTTTTTCAATTTTGTCATTATTTGGCATTGACATCTTTGCCATTTTTTTTGTGATTGCTATGATTGCTTATTTAAAAAAAAATAAATTGGACGAAGTCGTCTCTGGGGTGTATAATATGTTGCCTATGCAAAAATTGTCAGGGGTGAACAAATAAAATGAGCACCCTGTATACATATACATCAATTTGTTAATTTGTATAATACATCCATCATATAAATTTGTCGTAAAGGACTATTAATAAATAGTTATTGTTGTGATTAGTCTCAGATTTATTGATTTCATTACTTGCATGTTTCAACATTCTCTTTCATAATCAATTACCTCCTGTCATTATATTATTTTAGTAATATCGATATTAGCATGTTTGCGAAAACCTTTTCTTATAAAGTTTTCCTTATGCTTACAATTATAATTTATAATTATAGTTATAAGTATAAATTGTAACAGTTATGCTGACGGCTTAGAACCTTACATTGACAAGCAGAACTGACTTTCTGTCACGCAAATTGATTCATTTTGCCCATGAATAATTTAGAAATTTTGGCTACTTTTGGCAATACAGAAGATGTACAGAACTATTTAGTACATCAGTTAATACAAAAAGAGTTAACAGAAAAGCGTTATTCATATACGTGTGTTAAATTCAACATGAATAGCATTCCGCCAGAAAACTTTCGTTTTCTTTTTCGATTTGAAAAAGAACATATAATTAAATTACATCAAGCTTTGCAAATGCCTGCAAAATGGGTTACACCGGATGGTCATGTCATTGAAGGTTTATTATTATCTACAATCGAGAAGAAATTCCGTATTTTTAAACACTCTTCATTTATAGGTCTTGCAGGATTATGTCTCGTTTTAAGACGATTTTCTTACCCAAACAGACTAAAAGGATTGCAAAATGAATTTGGGTTACATTTTTCGTCAATCAGTAAAATTTTAAAGTTTGTTGTTACTTTTATATTCAAGAAATGGGCCAAGTTATTATTAAATTTTGATAAAAACATATGGTTAACGCAAGGTTTTCTCGCAGAGGTGGCTGCCTTCGTACATAAGAAAGGTGCTCCTTTAAGAAATTGCATTGGGTTTATCGATGGTACTGCCCGGGCAATTTGTAGACCATCAAAATTTCAAAAAGAAGTTTACAGCGGACATAAAAGAATACATTGTCTGAAATTTCAATCAATCACCGTTCCAAACGGTATCATTTTACATTTAAGTCCTCCGTATTCTGGCAGACGACATGACTCTTTTATCCTTAAAAATTCAAAAATCTTAGAGCAAATGAAGCTCCATTGCCCACAGTTTTGTTTATACGGTGACGAAGGGTATCCATTAGTGCAACAATTAATAAGACCATTTTCTAATCATAATTTAACAGAGCAGCAACAAATGTTTAATACCAAAATGTCCAAAATACGCCAATGCGTAGAATGGAGTTTTGGTAAAATAACAACGCAATTTGCGTTTGTTGATTTTAAAAAAAATCAAAAACTTTTTCTGCAACCAATAGGTCAGTATTATATTGTGGCTGCATTACTAACTAATGCGCATACATGTTTTTATGGAAGCACAACTTCTCGATACTTCGATATAGAATCACTAGATATTATGGAATATTTTCAATAATTTCTTTTTAATCAAACAATTACCTTTAATTAATATGTTATTATTAAATAAACATTTAAAAGCTGTAATTATTTCAAAAATTATGTCAGATTTTTATTATTTAAATTTTGTGTTAAAATGTTTTCCAAAAATCTGTTTAAAATTGCATTTTTTTGTCTTTCTATTTTACGGCCCTCTTCCTCCTCTTGCCATTTTTTCTGTTCGAACTCAAGCTTAGCTTTTTTGAATTCCAACTCTTCTATTTGAATTTTCATATTATCTTGATGTTGCTTTTCTTTAAATCTTAATTGTTCTTGTTGTAGCTGACTTTCCCGTTTCATTTTTTCAATTAAATATGAAAAACTTGTTCCATCTTTAGTTCCATTTCTCGTCTTTTTTCGTGCTGCTGCTGTATAAACCCTGCTAGATTCTTGGTTGAACCCTTCACGACCCCCACGCTCACCATCAATATCAGTGTCATTAAAATCGTCAACAGTGTGAAAAAATATTTCATTGTCCACGTCAGTGGCTTCTGTTTCTAATATTTTTTCACTATTACAACTTTCAATAGGATTGTCCAAACTTTGCAGAGCAGCTTGGCGAATTGCTTTTGCAGGCATAACCTCGTCGAATTTTTGGCCACTGCATCTTTTTTTACCCCGTTCATTTTTTTTATTTTCTATGTCAATTTGTGCCACATCTTCATATTGCGACCAGACAGTCAGAAGTTTTCTAACAGCGTCGCCCCACTCAGTCTGTATCCGTTCTTTCCCACTTTCTGTAGCTTCGTCGGCATCAAATTTTCTAAATTTTATTACTTGTTCCAACATATGATCTTTTAATAATTTGAAGCTACAGTTCTGAAAGCGCTCTCTTTCGTCTTCACTTACGACTGCATGAAGTTTTTTCCACACATCTTCTTCGTTTGTAAATTCAGTCTCGCAAAGAAGGTCGAATAATGCATTCAAACATTTTATACGTTCCCTCTCTGAGAATCGAAATCGTTTCTTTTTCAGTTGCGACATAACTAATTAAAGTTCTAAATGACACTGACTGACATTGTAGAAAAATTCTACTATTGTCAATATAAGAAGTAACGATTGTGAGTGTTATAATTATAAGACATAGTTATAAGGATAAGTGTAAGCATAAGAAAAAATTTATAAGAAAATGTTTTGCGCAAACACGCTAATTAACATTTTTAAATAAAATTATGAGATATAACGTGGAAGTCTGCGGAAAAGTTTCTGGGCAGAACATACCAGTCATTTATTTTTTTTTTATTTTCAAGACTATGATTTCGTGAAAATTTAAATACACCATTATGTTAAAGCATACCTGCTCTTCAGTCATATCTTCCATCACACTTGGATGCGGTGCTTCATAACAGCCAGTTACAGGATTTATTCCATGTTTAAATTCGGCATACTCCTCAGTTTCACTATCTTCACTATCAGAACTAAAGTCGGCCGCTTCTTTATCAGATTTGCCACCCAAGAGGCCTCTCTGGGCAAAAAGCCCAGCAGCATTGCCATAACCAGTATACTTTATCATTCGTTTAACTAGAAAACAATATTATTAAAAAAATATACGCTACATTCTGAACAAAATTACCGCTCTTTTTACATAAAACAAACAATAGTTCAGCCACTAGATCCCTAATTTGTGTTATTGGCGTTGTCAAAAGACGACAAAGATAATTCCGAAGAGTTGAACCCTGCTCAGGCCGGGTGTGTACATCCTTCAGTGGTGGCAGTATTTGCATTCGTAGATATTTTCTAATTGAACGTTCACTGATAGCACACTTTAATATTACACTAATGGAAGGAGATAAAGTTTCATACTGTTTGGAGACACCCTAGAATTTTCAATGTAGAAACAAAAATTTAAAACTACGTCAGATTTCTTACAGAATCATTTGATAACTGATTTTTCAAAAACATCAACAGTTCATAAATTGCAGTCATATTGTTTCCGTCGTAAGTAAACTTGTTCGAGACTTTTTGTTCTGGTTGTAACGGAGTCACGAGATTCTTGTAGTAATCATTATGAATATTAGTTAATAAATTAATAACGTTACTTTTAACAGCTACAGACTTTTCTTTACTGTTTGTAGGCATAAGAAGATACATTCGTAGTAACACTACCAAATGTTCACATTGTTTATCTTCCTCTTCGTCGTTAGTATTACCATAACAATTCAGTGTTAAATTAAATAAAGCCTTAAGTACCTCACAAACTAAGTCAACTTTTTCATCCTAAAACATGCATTTAAAAAAATAATACCCCTAACTAAAATCGGAAGAAAATACATCTAATGCAATATTTCCTGACGTCGCCTGCTCAGCTGCTCTTTTCAAAGTTACTTCCAGTATTTGTATCAACGAGATAGTCCCATTCATTTCGGTCCTCACTCTGTTCCGAATCTCTCCACATAGTGCCGTTAATAAAAAAAGCTGTTTAACATGAAAAAATTTAATCTGTTCTGGTAACTTTTTCTCTTCGCATGTTTTCAGGCGCTCCGTTATTTGCTGCAATATTCCGTTCTTGCAGCACTGTGCGGCTACCACCGAACTATTGAAAATTAAGTTACATAAACATTTTTGGACTTCGACAGCCACCTGTAACTTTTCATTTTCGAAAATTACATCTGGTGTACCTAGGCCTGAATGAATTTGGATTAAGTTGAACCATTTATCTGTCATCAGTTCGTTTAGGTCCGTTTTTTCGCGACTGAAATTAAATTAGTGGTAATTTTTTAAAATAGTAGTGTTGGGTTGATTAGCAGGCGATACCTGAGGATGCGAATGGCAATGAAACAATTCATTAACACAGTGTTATTTTCGGTTGAACTTGCTAAAGTAAATAAAGCGTCCCACAGTTGCTTTCGCTGATTATTTTTGTTGAGTTCTGGGAACGAAAATACTTGCGATGCCTGAAATGAATTACGATAGTTTTGAGTAAGAGTATTTTTATATACCAATGTGCATCGAAAACAAATTATACGACGCAGAATCTACAAAACAGAAAAACAGTGGTCTAGGGTTAGACAGGACTTCCCTCTCGCCCAAACGACAGTCGAAAAAATATAAATTTAAATTTTGTTGCTATTTAGTGGCGTAAATAAATAAATAATTATTAGAAAATTATTTGAATTTGAACGTTGTCAAATTTACGATCAACAAGTGGCGTTTCAGTAGAAATGGCAAACATTATACATATTTAAAACACATTACCAAAGGGAAAAAACGTATTCTCAGTACATATATGCTCAATAACTTCGCCTGTTTATGTTTATACTTTGAAAGAATTGACTATTAAGCAGCATCAGCGATGCATTTTGTGTTCAAATAAAATGAAATTTCATTGATTTTGTCTCCTCAAAAAAAAAACACGAAAGGACTGGTCGAAGTTTATTTCGGCAGAACGTCCTTCGCTTCTGAAGTACCAGTCCAACAAATCCCGCTTCTTTGAAAAATTGTAAAATTAGATTTTGTGATGTTTATTTTGTGATATCTTCTATGAAATAAAAAAAAATGTAAAGTATATTTAAAGCAGATAACCCACGGGAAAAAATGGCCTCCCAGCAGTAATAACAAGCTTCAATTTCACTAGGTAACAGCAATCTGAAGCTGAGGTGTTTATTTATGTTTATACATCGGAATAATGTCACGTAGAAATTTGTTTGATTTGAATGAGTTTGCCGCTTCGAAACAGGGGACTAAAATTATTAATTAAGCCACGGTTGAACAGAATGTCCTGAATGTTATTACTACTAAAATTATTAGTCAATAAAGACGTTAATATTCTCACCTTTTCGAGAAAATAGGGTGACTCATTGTTAATTTGATCAAAGGAAAATTTGTTATACTTTATAAACATTGATAAATCAGAGAAAAACAGAAAAACAAACGGCCAAGTTTGTCATCGAGCTGTTACTCACTACGCCACGGTTGGGATATCGTAAGCTAATGATAAACTGTTATTATACTGTGTTCATTTTTTTTGTGAACATTTGGACGTTTAGGGAAAAAACTCAACGCGGATTCATACAACACAAGTTAGGAGTATATTATTGTATAACATTTAAATTATTTTAAAACAGAATTCTTTGAAATGACGTTATCAAATTGTTGCTAGGGATGATTAATCAAATTTTGGTTAACGTTTTACCATCTACATGATATTTCTAATTTACATACAAGATTTGACAAGAATCGGTCCAGTAGTTTCGAAGATTGTGTTACTCTTTCTAATAGGCAACTCAATGTAATACTAAACGCTTACGTCTTGGTTCCAAATTTAATTTCAATAATATCATGACTCTAAGTATGCACTATTGTGTCACTTTCAGTTTCGTTGGTAACATTTTTTCAAGTTTCAAAAATGCTTCTAAACGATATTAACACACAAAGTGTCTGGTAAAAACACTAGATTGGGCTGTAAACACCATCAATTAAATTTCACTTTCTTTTAACACATATGCCGGTCTTACGTACTTCAATGCCGGCGCTGATACGATATGACGTGATCGAATTCTTTCGAAGTATAAACAGAAACAGTCAAAGTTAAACTACACTGACCGGCAAAAAAAAAACAATGAAGGAGGCTGCTGTTGCAAACAGTGTTTTTCGCCATTTGACCATTTGATTATAAGTTTGGTAGTTAATAAACGTTTTCACGCGAAAATATTTCCGTTAACAAATGTCTCTCAAATTGTCGCTCTGTTTCTGTTACTTTGTTAAATTAAATTTAATTCTGCGTTTATTTGTGTTCTTTTTTTGGCTAATTTATATATCATGTATCAATACTGAATGGTTCTTTAACAAAATAACGATCACTAGTTAAATTAATAATTTTTAAAGTTTGGTTTTGCGAAATTTTTCAGGGTGGCCGTTTTTTTTCGCCGGTCAGTGTAGTATTCGGAATTAAGAATACATTGTTTCCAGTTGATTATCTGCTTTAAATATGTTTCATATTGTCCGCATTTGTGCAGACTGTGCCCCCTTGGAATCTGCACCCTCGCGGCGCAGGGGCTGAGAGGGTGTTATTTACCCCACTGGAGCGAGGGCAGTTCTGTGGAAATACCTTCAACCATTTTTTTTTAATAAAATAAAATACGAGGTGGTAGTTTTCGGCAGTCAGTTGAAATTAATTCACTTATATATGTATAATTAACACAATAGTTGGTATATGCAAAACACTTACGGCTTCAACAAACTTCTGTAAAGCTTCCGAGGAACTGGCTTCATTGCTGGTTAGTATACCGTTAATATATACGTCCATTGTTAATATTGTAATTTTCTATTTCTATGCTCTTGGATCCTGTAACTGCAAGAAACACCAAACTCAGAATTTCATAGTTACTTTTAATTTGCTACTTCCATACATTTCAAAACTGTAACAGCTATAGAATTAACGCTAAAGTGCCGATATGGCATGACAATTTTTGGAATTAACGAAATCAGATTAGATTACCTGTCTGTTTAATGCACGGTTGTAGTTTAATGTAAACACAAAAATAACCTCAAACGACAACGATTAACCACTCGTTCGATAAATTCAATAAACAGATGTCAGATGTCAGACGTCAACTGTCAAGCGACAATCGTCGTCGAGCAAAAAAAAACAAAAGACGTTTACCATAGATTAATATAGATGCGACATACAGGCTGATTTTGCAAAACCACCCTTATTGACATAGGAGTCCTCAAGCCCTAAATTTAAATAGTCGATGCCAATAAAAAACTTGTTTCACTACAACTCTAATTCGTATGACTTGAAAAAGTAATTAAGTAAGCTAATATTTTCAAATTTCTGTTTTACAGGTAAAATCCCTGCTCCGAAAACGATTCTACACCCGGTATTTGCTTGTGGGTTTAGAAAAAATCCGAAACTGTAGAATTTGTCTCAGAAAACGTAAAAACCGTATGATCTGAAATCCTGCAAACGATTTTAGGGTTTCGTAAACATGGTGAATCGTTAAAGTTTATCCGATTATTTAAATTATCAAACCTATTGCGCTGAAATTGTTGATGCGTTTTAAGACTATTGTGAACATTGTAGATAGCTAATCAGAAATCAACTGTTCAAACCAATATACAAGGTGTTAAGGAATGGTCTGGCATAAATTTGAGGGTGAATGTGAGACAAAATGTAGTCGAAAAAAGAGTTATATTGAAATATAACCCAGCTTGGATCAGGGATTTAGAAATAAACACTCACTAACAAATAATTTATATACATTTAAGTCCAAATTTTTCACTTAACTCACAAATATATACAAGAAAAATTTAAGCCACAACTTTTGGTGGTGCGGGTTCAGTATATGGTTCATCTACATCATGGCCTTGGTATAAGTCATAAATCCAAGGTTTCAGTTCCCACGGTACTTGATCTTCCATTGGAGTTAAACAAATGCCTAGGTCTTCCAATGTTGGAATATCATTACGAACAGCATCTGTCACATGCTCCCTCTCTACTTTATCCCAGTGTAAATTGCCCAGTGGCCAACTAACACGGGCCAATTCCGTCATTGAAACTCTCATTTGGAAGAAGGGATCATAACGCATGTCGTAACGCCAGTAGCCCCACTCTTTGTTTTTTCGCATTAACCTGTAGAACCAGTCCACTAATTCTGACAAATAGTAACGTTTAGGGCTGCAAAAAAAAGATTGGATTGAAAAATACCATCAGTATGTTAATATTACCCAACAGCTTGATATGTCTTTCCAGCAGTATCTGAATCTTTAATGGCAGCTATTATTCCGGCTGCTAAATCAGATACGAATACTGGTTGCTTGATGGTTTCTTCTCCCTTTTTCCATAATGGCATCCACTGGCCCTGACGCCTCCAGACATGAGCATAATACCTACAAATTAAAATTACTATGAGTACAGCTCGGATATTATGCAAAATGGTTTTTAGTTTTTAGAGGTATAAATGGAGGTTTTCCGTTAAACAAAGGGAAAAAGGGATGATGCCAGTGATGGCAGGTGTAATTCAGAGTCTAGCGGGTTTTGTCCGAGAAGTAGTTGTTTCGACCCACTGGTTGGTCCAGGTTATTAAGCAGTGATTGGAACAATTACTTTTAAAAAGTAATGCGTTACAATTATTCATTACTTTTAAAAAATAATACATTACTTTAACAATTACTTTTTTGCACTTTGAAAAATTTGATGAAGACAATTTTAGATATTTGTTGTATAGGTTTCCAAAGGGTCAAGAAAAAACGTATTAGAATAAAAAAGGCAGTGACGCATTTGTTACATATTCACATCAGTAAATAGAATAAAACCAATAAATACTTCACATAAGAGGACTATATTCATAATTTAAATTCAATAATAACTGACATTCAAAATTTTCATCAGTTAAGACATAACGTTTTGTCTTAAAAACATCCGCGCTAACACTAAACAGTCTTTTCACATATTACATATTTTACCAAAAATTGAAGAGCCAATTCTTTTGCATCTAATTTCATTCCACTCTAGCTACAAATAAAAGTTCGATGCCAACTGCAACAACTTTTAAACAAAAATTTGCATTGGTGGGAGATTTCAAAATATCTTATTGGCTACGTGAAAATGTATCGTAAATATTAGTCCACAGATAATTACATGCGGACGCAAATTTTAATCTTTAATAAAAAGGATGTTCCTAAATACTCATTTAGAAGGGGGCTACAAGATAATATAAACTTAAAAGTCTGTCTTTAATTGCCTCTTAATTGGCGTTGTGACTTACAGATTAAATTTAGAAAACCTCAGAGGATCGACACTCTCATACAATTTTATTGTCGGATTATGAGTGGTTTAAACGGACGGGTTCTATCGGTTACCTGTTATAGATTTGAGTGGACCAGAAAAATGGCTAAAATTAGTTTGACTACAAATTTTAAATATTCTGCCTCTGCTTACTCAAATATTTATTAAGATAATTTATTTCTGTAAAGCGCAATGGATTTTTTAATACAATTTCTACTAATGTATCTTTTTGAAAATTTAAAATTGATCCACAAATAGCGAAAATCAGATAGTCTCATAGTCGTCACAATTTTAACGCGTTGTAGTTTTTTTTTGACAACAAAATTTAAAAAACGGAAAAGCAGTCTGGGTAGGGTTTTTCACACTCATTTCAACGGTGTGAAATCGGACGTATACTTTTGGCAAAAACTTGGGCAGAAGTTTATATGTATTTGCCTATGCTGAAATTATGCTTTAGCTCACCCTTACTGCCCATTCACAATGGACATAAGGCATAACAAGTACATAATAAAAAGCTTACATAAATACGTAAAGTTGAAACGAGGGAAAACGTGTACCCCTGTTCACAGTGGACGAACGTAATTCTTATGCTTGTGAACGTTTTATGTAATACTTGTGTGCGTACACAAAGTAGAAATAAGTTCAACTTTGTGCACGAATTATGTTAAAATCTAGGGACTCTTGAATGCTGCTATTGAATTCCCTTTGACAGTTGGCACTTGGCACTTCACACCTTTGATTATATTATATAAATTATAATCAAAGCTTCACACTGCGAGTCTGTTTTGTACTGCGAGTTGTCAACTTCGAATATTGTATGAAATTGTAGGTTAGATATTTTGATTGACTCAGTTTGAGGTTAGCCGTTTCTATGTTTAGCCGGGAGTTATTCCGTTCTGCGTTTGCGCAGTTTAACAACTCTTACAGAGTTCACTCTGCCCACTGTGAACGTAGATAAGCATAAGCCAGACACAAACCAAAAACGTAAATTATGTTATGCGCTCGTTCTTATGTCTTATGTCCATTGTGAATGGGCAGTTAAAATGATGCAGAGCTTATGTATATTATGGTTACCTGGTTTCTTAACAAATTCTGTGCTAAACTCGTTTTAGATTTTAACTCCCTACTGGGTTAATCTTCTCTTTGTGGGGACGAACTAGGTATAATAATCCCAGCAGGTTAGGTAAACGATTCGTAGAGAAAAACAAAACAATATTTTTGAGTATTTGGGTTAAAAGTAATTGTAAAAGGGACTGAATTACTCAAAAAAGTAATTCGTTACAATTACTCATTACTTGAAAAGGAATTGAATTACAGTAATGAACTACTTCCAACCACTGTTATAAAGTGCGCAATGATGGCGACAAAATGGTCATCACCGATTCTAACTATATCTCACTAATAAAAATGATCTTTTTACTTTTAAACCTTGCATATCTTGCATATATATACAGAAAATTATTGTAAAATTATACATTCTAAAGAACGGTTAATTGCACGTTTTACAAAAATTCAGTTTGTAGAATACGAAAATATCAGTATAATATAACTTCACACTTTCATAAAATTTTATTAAGTGTTTGCCTTTTTTGTTCTTACATTTGTCATTTTTTGACAATTTTTATCTGTGTGCTTAATAATAATCTTCAACATGCTAAATCTTTTCCAAGGATGACTCTATTACAAATTATGTTGCTTGCCCGATATAAGCTACAAAAATTAAATTCCTCACCTTAGGAATCTGTCTTCCTGCCCATACACATCTGCAGGTCGGAAAATTGTGGCATCAGGAAATGCTTCTAAAACTGCTTGTTCTCCTCTCCATTTACTAGCCAAAAACTTTGAACCATTTTTTAAAATAACTGATTCAGGATGCTCTGCAGCATTCAATGCAGACACGTGAATAAATCTTTCGACGCCCGCTTGTTTAGCCACTTTTGCTAAAAGACCAGCACCTTTCACATGCACATCTTCAAAGTTATAATTCCTCGTCTCCCAATCACGTCCTACCAAATTAATAACGACGTTTGAGTAACGAACTACTTTCTCTATGGATTCTTCATCTCTTAGATTATATGGGTGAAAATATACTTGTCCCAAATCCCCACATACTTTGAGACGCATCACATCATAGGGGTCTCCCCGGTATGGTAGAATTAACTATTTTTCAGTAATTCAAATTAGTAATTAAACAAGTTGTATTTTGTAACTAGTACCTGGGTTCCAATTTTGCCCAATCTGTTACAAACATAGCGTCCAATGAATCCTGAACAGCCAAAAACTGTCGCCACAATTCCATTAAAACTGCTTCGGCCTCCAGTGCCCCTTTTTAGAGAAGCTAAATTGTACGCTTTGTTTTCAGTGCTGTAATTAGCAGCGCGAATGTAAGCAATTCCGATGAAGCCAGTTTGCTGTTCTGTAAACCCAAATTTGTGGTTATGTTATGTAATAACTATTATTATAATTGCATGTTTGTACACACAAAATCTATGGATTGACAACTGTAACTATACATTGGAAAGTTACTGTTCTTTATTTTAAAAACGGTAGTAATGCTTTGTACTTACTCAGTGAACTGACTCCTGTAAATGTTACCGCTGCCATTTTTACTGCAACGTTTGACAAGTTTGACAAGTAAGCTATTGACAGGATTGACAGCACGTCGGTCGTCGACAGATGAGACACCAATTGTAATTTTATTTATTGTTAGTATAATGTCGTTACATGCCTACAAATAAGGACAATAAGAGATTGCTTAATTCCGAATGGAAATTAAAATGTTGACTGAAATCGATGTTTTCTGAGTTCAGCAATCATCCATGAATGATTAAGATTAAGAAGGAAGTAGGTAAATGAAATGATCCATATTTGAAGACTGGGTCGTAGTAGGGAATGAACGATGAAGATTCGTTTGAGGTGTTGACTGTTGATCGAATTTGCCCGTTCAAATATGAAAATATTTCTAATTTTCTATCACGTCTCTAGGATCAATGGTTTCTTCCTCCTTGGAATTGGAATCCTTGGAGTGAGATCAGAGACATCTAACAGCAATGAAACAAAACAACACACCTGCTCAATAGTAGTGAACAGTACACAAGCTACACAAATTACAGGTATTAAACGTAGTTTCCTTAATCTTATCAAAAGCGGAGTCATGAAGCCATGAAGTTAGAACATGAAGCTTTGAAGTTGTTTTTTATCATTTTCTCCACTGCACCGAAGAATAATAGACATCAGCGATTACACTCGCTTGGTCGACGTTAAACTTAGTTCGGGTAGCAGAAAACTACGTACAAAGTAACTGGAAATCAATACGATGTCGTTAGATGGCAAAGGCAACCAATTTTGATCTCTAAAGAGATATGGTATGGCATGAAATAAATATACAGGGACATTTTTTTAACTCTTAACATACACCATACGGTCCCTATGCTCATTCTAAAATAAAAAACACATCAATGTATTAGATGTCTGCAACCAATATTACATCAAACCTACGTGATAAATTGATAATTAAAAAAAGTTGATACTATCGCCATGTAAGCATTCGAACTGTAGGTACGTTACGTGTTATTTTTTTTGGTCAATTGCATCTAAATTTCATGTAAATCATGTGTTATTATTGCAGTTGAATGTGGGGCAACTCCATCCATTTGAAACCAAACATCATTAATATTTAAGTTTTGAATTGGGGACACTAGGTATGTGGTTACGAAGCAGTCTTAAAAAGGAATTAGAATTAAAATTTCCTTCAATAAAAAATTGGTCGAAGGTTATTTCGATAGAATTTCCCTCGCCCCTGAAATACAATAAAACACGTCCAGCTTTTTCGAAAAATTATAAAATTTGATTATGCGAATTTTATTTTTTTATGGGAACCCTTATAAGTTAAAATAAAGATATGTTTGTAACGTTAAAGTAAATGTAAATGTAAACAAGCGTGCTGGCCGTACGTTCCAAATGAGTTTTCCCTTAACAAATTTTTGTGATAATATCAAGACACAATTATTATCACTTTGGATGGGTGCAGTGTAATACTAATGAAAACAGTACTTATTGTATTCCCAAATTTTCGAAAAAACGAGTGAGCCGTTCCCGATTTAATCAATAAAATAAACTGACTTTCATTAATTCGTAGTCACTCTATATAAAAAATTTAAAAAGTTTTAATGCAATGAATGCAATTATATTGATAAATCACAAGCATAGACTCATCATATTTTGTACATTTTGGATAGGATTTATTCGACGAAATTTTGAAATGACGTCGTCAATTTTTTGGAAGGGGAGAAACGAATAAAATTTGCCCTAGTCGTCGCCCGCAAAATCGGTTTCAATGAGAAGAATTATTTTTTGTAACTATGCAACCCAAAGTACCGATGCACGGCAGGTAGCGACCCAAGAGAGGAGAGATTATGGTCACTGTAGGGAGTCCGTCATAAAATGCAAATCGGTAAACAACACCAGATAAGCTTATTTATTTTGAAATGAAGGGTACAGGGAAATAACCATCGAAATCCATTTCTATCTATTTTGGAAGAAGTTGAGTTGAAAGTTTAAAATGCTGCGGAAAATAGATTGAGAAACCCACAAGGTTCAGTCTAACATAACTTTTTATTTTCTTTATAGTGTTTTATAAATATATAAAATAAACTGTTTATGTTCAAATATAACAGCAAGAAAAATTGGTGGAAAGTTGTTTCGACAGAACTTCTCTCGCACCTAAAATACAATGAAACATATCCAGCATTTTCGAGTTAAATTTTTACTTTAGGTACACAATTTTGTGATGAAATCATCAACATTTTGCAAGGACACGTAAATTAATGTGGATTAGACTAAAAATAACATTATTCCAAAAATTTCTGGGAAAATGGAGTGAGTTGAGACTGATTTAAACAACAGAATAAATTGACTCATTCATTAATTTTTTTGAGCCACCTAGCTATATAAGCAAATCTAAAAAAATATGAATGCAATGATAAATTACAAGTAAAAACTCATCATATTTTGCACAGTAGAATTTATTCAGCAAAATTTTGAGATGATGTTATCAATTTTTTAGTAGCATAATCCTGAACTTGTGGTTTATAAATACATTATTGAGATTTTTCGACTTTTCGGTTTTTCGATTTTCCAACTTTTGATGTTTCAATTTTTCAGTATTTTAATTTTTGACATTTTCAATTTTTCCATTCTTCAAATTTTCGATTTCTCCATTTTTTTATTTTTCGATTTCTCAATTGTCCGATGTTTCACTGATACGATTTCGCAATTTTTCAACTTTTCGATATTTTAATTTTTCAATTTTTAAAATTCTAGATTTTTCGAATTCTCGAGTTTACAGTTCTTCTATGCATATTTCAGTTTTTCAATTTTCGGAATTCATTATATTTCTGATTTTCCATTTTTTTTTAATTTTTCGATTTTCCAGGTTTTCGATGTTTCGATTTTTCAATTATACGATTGTTCAATTTCTCGATTTCTAAATTTTAGATTTTCCAATTTTAATTTTTGTTATTTTTTTCATGTTTGGACTATTTATTATTGCTAAAAATAAAAGTAAAAAATAACTACCAAAATTATGACTAAAAATATGTAAAAATTAATAGAAAATAGAACACATTGCTGCTAAAACATAAAAATTAACTGTACTTTCCCAAAAAAATCTATTGCATGATTATTGTTCCACTAGTATTGCTAATTTAGGACGTTAGTATAAAACGCAGTGAAAGTATTAATTCTTAGTTAAAAAAAAAATAGTTGAATGTCAAAGTCGAGTGAAACATGTGAGACATGTGTAAACAAAAGCATCTAAATAATAACTATTTCCCTTAGAATTTCTGGAGGCTTATAGAGTCGACATTGGCCTGAGCGCGCTCCGATCTGTGGATCATACAAGTTCTCGGGCGACGATGTATCTAACGAGGCAGTTGAAATACCTGATATGTCACAGCGCAAAAAGCATTTCTCAAAAAACTTTCAAACCTTGATGTCTTTTTAATCGAACAAAACACAATTGGCGAACGCAATAATCCAGAATGGTGCGCAGAAAAATCCTTTAGACAGACTAACCGAACGTTATTTTGGTAAAATTTGCAAAATGAGAGAACAAGTAACACGGCTAATCCTACTGTACTGTGAAAAACATTTTACATCCCTGCAAATCTAGTTCAGCATGTACTCTCCCAAAATCTTTGCATAGAAAATGAAGCAAGGGCAACTGAAGCATTTTGCAGTAACACCAAACTGATAGCAAGACAATGCGGTTGTACATTTTTAGCGGCATCGCCAGACGGCTTAATAAACAAAAACGCTATCTTAGAAATATATAAAATGTCCAATTTAAATAATGCTTAATTCAACGAGATGATAAATTTTGGGAAAATAATATATATGATAGAGCGAAATAGACAGAGAGAAAAATTTTATTTTATGCCTTACTTCCGGAGAGAGTAGATTCTCGTTATTAAACAAATCAACCCATTAGACAAATTGTAAAGAAAAGATTGTACAATTAAAATTTTTTATTTGCATTCGCGTCATGTGTAGTTCATATAAATCTTTTCCCCTTCTAGTATAAACACACACAGGAATAAATAGTAATATTATTAATAGTAAAAACGTGCCTATAATACTCTACATCATAGGTGGTGCGGAAAAGAGTATCAAAAAATTAAATTTAAATAAATATGATTGTTCAGGTAAATAAGTGGTTAGTGAAGTGATGAGAATCTAAATCTTGTCAGTTTGGTGTATTGATTTATATATAGAATGACAGATTAATAAAAAATACTGGAATAATTTTTTGTAAGAAAATGTTTTAGTAGAATGTATAAAATTATAAAAATTTGCATACTTTTAATTCAAATTATGTTAGCAACAGTGGCGGCTCCTCAGAGGAGGCAGGGGAGACTGAACCTCCTCTATTTTTTGGAGCTGAGCTTCCTCTAATTTTTTTCGATGAAAGAATTTATATTTTTGTAGACATTTGTTATTTTTCAGAATATTTTATTGAATTTCATTTACTTTCATCATATATCAGGTTAAAATGTCGAAAAAATTTATATTTGCGCCCTCACAATCATAATTCACACCACTCCGCGTTTGGTTTCAGCGGCAGAGGCTTGCTAGCCGCTAGCCTCCGAACGACGATGTATCTAAATAATGAGACGGTAACCTTGACGCATCGTCAGTCTGTATTGCATTGGCTAAAACGTTGATCGGACTGCCGCTCCAAGCCGCTAGCCTCCGGCTAGTTCATCTCTTTTCAGATCAAGTTGTACAGATAACTTTGTCTCTTTCTTATTAGTTGGAGCAATCGGGTGTAAGTAGGAAAAACATTGAGGTGGTTTCGCGAGCTGCCTGTTCAGCGGTGATGGTGTTTAGGCTTTACGTAGGTAAGGGTACAAAAGGGGAGACCAACACCATCACTCCCATTAATGGTATTGACAGTTACAATTAGAAACAAAACAGAGCATTTCATGAAAATAATTATAATAAAACTAAATAGTTAACGGCTTCGGTTTTAAGAAACAAATTATACTGTTGGAATTGTGTATTATTTATAAGGGATAAATCTTTCGTTTGGGGTAAAACAGGCTATAATAATTTACAAAATTTGTCACGAGCTATAGAAAGGCATGAAAAATCACAGGAACACATATTTTCTTCAATTAAATTAGAAATGCAAAACATTGCCAATAATTTAGATTCGGCTCATAAAAGGGAGAACTATTACGAGAAAGTT